TTTTCTCTTTTAATAATAAAATATATAAACAAACTTTTGGAATGCCTATGGGGTCCCCTCTATCTCCAATTATTGCCGATATTGTGTTGCAAGATTTGGAGAAATTTATATTGAAAAAATTAGATTTCAAGCCTTCTTTTTACTTTAGATATGTGAATAATATTATCTTAACAGCGCCTCCTGATTGTTTAACTTCACTCTTAGACATGTTTAATAGTTACAATAATACATTACAGTTCACAATAGAAGTTCAAAATAATAATTGTTTAAGTTTTTTGGAAGTTAAGATTTTAAATTTTAATAGAAAAGTAATGTTTGATTGGTTCCATAAACTTACTTTTTTTGGCAGATATTTGAATTTTTACTCTGCCCATTCGCAATCTCAAAATATTGGCACGGTTTTAAATATGGTTGATAGAATTATGCTATTATCTGACCCTTGTTTTCAACAAAAAAATTTTAAATTTATGATTGAGGTGCTTCTTATGAATACCTATCCTCTACAATTTATTTTTAAGACTATCAAGAATAGAATTAAGTTTTTAATTAATAATAGATTAAATTCAATTAATGACAATAAATTTGTTTCAATTGATCTTGAGGTTGTTAGAAAATATTTTGTTGTCCCTTACATTCCAGAACTATCTTGTTCTATTTCAAGATTTTTTAAAAAAACGAAGGAGATCTCTTTGGCTTTTCGTAGTTTGAATAAATTGAGTAAATTTATTAAAGTCGGAAAGGACAAGGTACCTTATGATCAAAATAAAGATGTTGTCCATCAAATTAATTGCAATAATTGTAATGTATCATATGTTGGACAAACGAAGCGCAAGTTAAAAACAAGAATTAGTGAACATAGAAATCAGATTAATAGAATTTCAGCTGTTGTTTCTGTGGTCACGGAGCATCGTTTAGAGACTGGTCATGACTTCATTTGGAATGATGTAAAAATCTTAAACACTGAAAAATTTTTTTATAAGAGATTAGTTTCTGAAATGCTCCACATTAAGTTACAGGATAATCTGTGAAATGTAATGTCGGATACTGACTTGTTGAAACCTTATTTCTCTTTACTTGAATTGTATAAATCAAATGTTTAGACTGTTACTTTTATAAACATGTTTTTCGACCTAATGTGAACTTTTGATCTTCTGATCAAATAGTGGGGATACTTTTTTATATTTGCTGGTTGATATGTTTTCTTGTCAGTACACAGTATTTTGTAATTTGTTGTCATACACGATTGACTTCATTTACTTTATATTTTAGTAATGTTGTGATCTAATTTGTTTTTTAATTGAGTGAGTTTTATTAATTTGTTATTTTTGTATTTTATTTCAATGTATCTTTTGCGCTAATTATCTATTATATTCATTAGATGTTTATTACACTAAAGAAGGTCCAAACTTGAGGACCGAAACGTATGTGTTTTTTGAATAAAGACTTATATTTATACACAAACATCCTGTATTTACTGCTCGTATCGGCCTTTTAATTATTTTTTATTATATATACATATATATTAAATGTTCAATATTCTAAAACCTTTTAAATGTTTTTTATGACTGTTAACTGATATAAATAATTAATAAATTGTATGCATCTCGAAGTATTTTGTTATTAATAATATTATGTATTTTTTCCAAAACTATAAATCTTGAGAAAGTTTTTCACGTTGTCATACGCGCGCAAAGCACGC